CCATTTGACTCTTTTGAGTCTCTATTGTCTATCATTACCCTCTTTACATACATATACCTTTTCTGGCACCCATTTAGAAGTGAGGATATACAATATTTATATTTCTGTCTGGCTTGTTTTATTTATTATAATGACCTACTGTTCCATCCACATTCTTGCAGAATACATGATTTCATATTTTTATGGCTGAATAGTACTCCATTATGTGTATATATAGCACATTTTCTTTATCCAATCAACTGTTAATGGACCCTTAGGTTGCTTCCATATCTTTACTATTGTGAGTAGTTGAAAAGTGCAGGTATCTTTTTGATATATTGATTTCTTTTCCTTTGGCCAGATACTCAGTAATGGGATTGCTGGATCCAATGGTAGTTCTATTTTTAGTTCTTTGAGAAACTTCCCTACTGTTTTCTATACAGTGTATAAGCATTCCCTTTTTTCCACATCTTCCCCAAAATCTTTTTAATAATAGCTTCTGATTGGGGTAAGATGATATCTCTTTGTGGTTTTAATTTGCATTTCTCTGATGATAAGTGATGTCAAACGTTTTTTCATGTACCTGTTGGCCATTTGTATGTCTTCTTTTGAAAAAATGTCTATGCCCTTTGTCCACTTTTTAATGATAGTATTTGGGTTTTATTTTTCTGTTGAGTTGTTTGAGTTTCTTGTATATTCTAGATATTTGTTGCCTATAGGCTAGTTGCACATATTTCTCTCATTCTGCAGGTTATTTGTTCATTCTGTTGATTACTTCTTTTGCTGTTCAGAAGTGTTTTCATGTAGTTAAGTCCCATTTGCTTGTTTTTATTGCCTGTGCTTTTGAAGTCTTAGTCATAAATTCTTCCCTAGACCTATATCTAGAAGAATTTTCCCTGGGTTTTCTTCTAGTATTTTTATAGGTTTGGGTCTTATGTTTAAGTCTTTAATCCATCTTGAGTTCATTTTGGTATATCCATGTGACTTCAGAATAATCTTGTCTTCTTTATGAAAAATCTTGTTAGCATTTTTGTTGGAATCACAATAAATAAATAAATAGGTTAATTTTGGGAGAACTAACATCTTTATGATGATTAATTTTCTTATCCAGGAATATAGTATGTGTTCTAATAATTCAGTATATTCTAGATACTGAATTATTAACTTCGTGTCTTTCTGAAATGTTTTGAAGTTTTCCTCACATAGGTTTTATGTGTTTCTTGTTCCACTTTTTTCCCTAGGTATTTTATAGTTTTTTGGTTGTTGGTGTTTTGTTTTGAGACAGGGTCTTGCTCAGTTGCCCAAGCTGGAGTGCAGTGGCATGAACATAGCTCACTGCAGTCTTGATCTCCTAGGTTCAAACAATCCTTCTGCCTTAGACTTCCAGGCAGCTGGGACTAAAGGTGTGTGCTACACTTGGCTAATTTTTTTTTTTTTTTTTTTATAGAGATAGGGTCTTGCTCTGTTGCCCAGGCTGGTCTTGAACTCCTGGACTTAATGATACCGAAGTGCTAAGATTACAGGTGTGAACTACTGCATCTGGCCTGTTGTCTTTTTAAATGGGATCTTCTCTTTCATGATACATTCCAACTGGATACATTTGTGGATAGGAAAGCTATTGATTATTTCATTCAATATTAAATTTACATTTTTTTGTTCTACCAAATTCTTTTTTTATTGGTTATATATAATTTTTCATGAATGTGTAGTGTTGCATTATATAAAAATACCATGAGTTAACCAAACTCTTGATATTGAACATTTAGTTGTATATGTGTGGGGATGGGTATGTTTTACATTTTTCCACTATTAATACAAATATGTGAACATCCTGGTGGCTAAATATTTTTCATTTCTTTAACCATTTCCTTGTAATAAATCCCTGGAAGTAAATTTGCTGCTTTATTGGATGTCAAAATGGAAAGCTTTAAGAAATATGTTTTGACAAATTGCCCTGGAAAAGGCTTGTACCCATTTATTCTCTAACAAGTTATGTCTGAGAAGGAATAGAGTTTAATTTTACTAGGCCAAGCAAAACAGCAAGCTCATTAAAGGCCTAGGGCAATGACTTTCAAATTATTTAGCCACAGACTTTCTATTTACAAGGAAGTTTATGTATTATATTGAATTATATGAAATTGATATTTTTGTATGTAATATGCTTGAATATCAGCAGTTTTCCATGGTTCAACTTAATAGAAGCCTAACAGGTATAGAAAAAAAAAGCACAGCTGCTCTGATTGATGATGGAGTAGGGTTATTCAGAAGATCTCAGAGAAGGGCTTAAGAGCAGCTCTCTAGGCACAAAGCCCTGGGTGGGAAGGACAAGGATGGTGGACAGTGTGAGGGCCCTGATTGCCTGTGGGATAGGAGCTGGGAGAGAGGACAAGAACATCAACATCTGACAAAGGAACAGGTACTTTGGACATTTGCCTTTAACAGCAAGTCTGACCTTGCCCTTTTGTGAGATTGCAATGTCTGAGAAGCAGTACCAAGTCTCTACAGTGTCTCCTTGATGTGTGAAAAGATGTGGGTTAAATCCCAGATCAATTATTTATTAACAGTGTGAGTTAGGGCAAGTTTTTAAGCTTTTCTATGAGTTACTGTTCTTTTCTGTAAACTATAAGAATTCCTACTGTATCAGTTTGTTGTTAAAATATGATGCTATGGCCAGGCATGGTGGCTCACGCCTATAATCCCAGAACTTTGGGAGGTTGAGGTGGGGGGCTCACTTTGGGAGGTTCGGGAGCTCAAGACCAGCCTGACCAATATGGTGAAACTCCATCTCTACTAAAAATACAAACATTAGCCAGGAGTGGTGGTGGGTGCCTGTAGTCCCAGCTACTTGGGAAGCTGAGTCAGGAGAATCGCTTGAACCCAGGAGGTTAAGGTTGCAGTGAGCCAAGATTGTGCACTCCCGCCTGGGTGACAGAGCAAGATTCTGTATCAATAAAATAAAATAAAATCAAAAGCATGAGGCTACAAGGTACCTTAGATACTTAACATATTACATAGATTCTCAAAAATGTCAGTTGTAATAATAATTTTATTATCTGATATTCATTCATTTTGCTGTCATCAAAATTCAAAAGATATCCAACTGTGTGTTCACTTACAGACTCTATCTTAGGGATTCCACCTCCTTAATATGTCTGTGAACCTATGCAATAAAATAGCAGTAATAATTCCTCTCATTTTATAGAAAAGAAACTAAAGAAGCTTATTTTTTAGCTCCATGAGGACCATTAAGCACTGGCACTCATTTTTATTCTCAAAGACTCTCAGGTTGAAAAAGACCTGGAAGTCATCTATTAGTTCAGGTTCAGTCTGATTTCTGCTTCACATCTGCAACACCTTTGGTGAGAGACAAGCCTAAGGATGGATAGCAAAATCCACAATACCCATGCCATCGTGCCTCTTTCAAGGGTTCATGTAAACATTATTAATTTTTTTTAACTTGTCTAAGTTCACAAAGCTAACTCTTTTTAAATGATATTTATTTTACTGCTGAGCCCTGATGGACCTCAGAATCCTTTTCAACAAACTCTGGAAGCAGCTAATACTAAACAATTTGGTCTGTCACACTGAGTTGAAATCTATGTGCTGTTTTGACCCAGCTCTAGCCGAGAACTAACCAAAGGCTGGGAATGCATTTCTACTTGCAAGAGCTAGTTTCATTTCTGAAAAAAACGTGCTGTCTCATTTCACTTTTGAATTCCCCCACAATTTATGCATAAATGCTGAATAAAGATTTTTATAATGAATGAATAAATAACTAAATAAAAGATTTACAGAAGTGTTTCATAACTTGCCTCAGATCTCCTGGAAAATGTGTTGGTTTATTCGACATTTATTGAGAACCTGTTATATTAAGTACTATTTATGTGAGGTGATCAAGAAAGTCTGCAATGATATGACTTTTTAAATTACAGTGAAATACACATAATATAAAATTGACTGGTTTAATCATTTGAAAGGTACAGTTCAGTGGCATTAAGTACAATCTCACTGTTGTGCAACTGTCATCCCTATCTACCTCCAGAACTTATACACAATCATAAACTGAAACTCTGAACCCATTAAACAAAAATCATCCACTATCCCATCCCCCCATCCCCTGGCACCCACTGCTCTACTTTCTCTATGAATTTGACTACTCTAAGAACCTTGTAAGTGAAATCACATAACATTTATCCTTTTGTTTCTGGCTTATATTACTCAGGATAATGTCTTCAAAGTTCATCCATCTTGTAGCCCATATGAGAAGATGACTTTTAAAAAAGTTTTTAATTAAAATATAACATAAAAAGTGAAAAGTGCATAACTTGTTCACAACCTGAAAACATCAGGGTAAGCAGTGCCTAGATAAGAAATGGAAAGTTACTAGAAGGACAGAAGACCCCTCACCAGGCTCCACTCCTATCCCCCAAGAACAATCTCTATCCTGACTTCTAATAGCATAGATTAATTTTGTTTAGTTTTTAACTTTATGTAAATTAAACCACACAGTATTTTTTTTTTCCATTTGCTTTCTTTTGCTCAATACCATGTGGTATTCATCCATATTGTTGTGTGTAGTTATAGTTCTTTCATTCTCATTACTATATAGTATTTTATCATGTGAATATTCTGCAATTTATATATCATTATATTGTTGATGGACACTCAGGTCGTTTCTGGTTTTTTGTTAATATAAATAGTCCTGCTATGGCAGGGCAGGGTGGCTCATGCCTGTAATCTCAGCACTTTGGGAGGTGAAGGCAGGTGGTTCACTTGAGGCCAGGAGTTTGAGACCAGCCTGGGCAACATAGGGAGACTCCATCTCTACAAAAAAATTAAAAAAATTAGCCAGGTGTGGTCATGCACAGCTGTATCCTAGCTACTCAGAAAACTGAAGCAGGAGGATTGCTTGAGCCCAGGAGTTTGAGTTGCAGTAAGCTATGACTGTGCCACTGCACTCCAGCATGGGCAGCAGAGCAAGACCCTGTCTCTATAAATAAATAAATAAACAAACAGTACTGCTATGAACATTCCTGTACATGTCTTTTGGTGAACATATGAATGGATTTCTATTATACATATATTATGTGTATTCTATATGAATATATGATATAAATATATTGTATATATGCATATATATATTCAGAAGAGAAAATGCTGGATCACAGATTATGCCTATATAAAGCTTTAGTAGATTTTCAAAGTGGTTTCCCATTTAGGAAGGGTCATTTAAGCTGTGGCCTGAAAACCAAAATGGAATGGAAGCTGCATTGAGATTTCCACACTAACATCTCCCTACTGCTATGACGAAAATGTGATCTTTTTTACAGTGGTTAGAGTCAAATGGAGAAGTCCCTTGCCTTTTTTTTGCTGTGGTCTCCCAGTACACTTTAGTGAGAGGAGCCTCTGTCATTTTGGTCAGAACCAGGGAATCAAGAGATGGTGACTGATGACTCAGCTTCCTCAGCTCGGCTTCCCAGAGCTCCACTCACCACATCAGTGAGCCTGGCATGCAGGGGGAGACATAAACACAACCATGGTGTTGATATCAATCCTAGCAGAGATGTCACAAGCCAGGGCCTGGGAAGAGGAGGAAAGAATCAGGATAAAAACTTCAGTGGAAACAAGATTAAATGAGAAACTTGAAAGTCACGACTGTGTAAGTAACAGTGGCAAATGACAACAAAAGGCCTCCACTGCTAAAATAATCAGTGGTACCTGTTTCCAGTCCCCGGCATCTCTGTTTTGGGGAGGTCTTAGGACTCAGGGCTTTGCCAATTGTGTTGCCTGGGATGACAGCCAATTGATGGAAGCTGGAATTCAGGGTTTTCTTCTTAACAGAAGTTAAAGGAGATAAAACAAAAACAAAAGCCCAAACAAAAAAAGCTGGCCACAACATTAATGTCTATCAATGCTATGTGGGTGTGAGGGCCTGCCCCTTTGTCTTAATAGAGAAGTATAAACATACCTGAGGAGTCCCAAAGGCCTGGTAGGAATGGGTCATTTTGAGAAAAAGTTTCCAAAGGGAAAGAAAAATCTAGTTATTTTGCCCTTCAATGTTTTAGAGTTTCCTCAGAGTAGAGAGAAATCTTAGTGTGCTTCTCCTTAAGGTATTGCTCATAAAGTCCCATCTTTTAAAGAAAAGGAACAGTAAAAAATGATTGGTGCATCAAAGTGAGATTTTCTTTTCCAAACGTGTCCTTAAGTGACTGATCCAGGGTCCCTTCAGAATTGCATGCTGTGTCTTTAACCTATTTCTCCTGTTTAGAAAGAAAAGTGTGGCTCACTGCCAGCACAGTGTGCTTGGGGCAAGCGGGAAGTGGGTTTAGGTAGCCAGACAGGTATGCGACAAACTACCTTTCATTACAATACCTCAGGCCAGAGGGATTGGGTCTTATGCCAAAAATCACTTTTGGCTATCTTTCTTTAGTATGTACAAAAATCACGACTCAAAAAGTATTTCAGGCCATCATTTTAAATTTCAGTGGAATGTTCATGTTACTGATTAGAGTTGTGTTTATAGAAAGTATTGAAGGTTGAAGCGTGTATCTATTCTGTAACGGTTGCGTATGTGTGTGTTCTAACAGAATTTCTTGTAAGAAATAATTGCCTTTCATTTATTTATTTCTCTTAAGAGTTCTCAGGGAAAATGAAAGTTAAATTAGCTAAGAAAAAATTCTGATTAGTTGGGTTCCTCCTACCTGTAATATTGATTTCTCTCTATATGGATAAAAGAAGTCAATTTAAACCTGTTGACCCATATGGTCCAGTTTATGTGACATTCAAATAAACACAACTTTGAACACCAAGATTAATCAGAAAGTAATTCAAATATTTACCAAGGACTCTTGAAGAATGTCAAAAGAATATCTAGGAGACGTCCTAACAATTATTTCTACATCTTTCTTTCTATTTCCCACCATTCTGAAGTTCTTTTCAAAGACTTGCTCAACTCACCAAATCTCTTTCTCATCCTTGCATTGCATTCAGGGTTCTGGTTTCTTTCCTCCCTCTCTCCCAACAAAACACAAAAATAAATAAATTTGTTTCTTTATAAAATTGAAAAAAAAAAATCCTAGTCTGTATCTTATCTTCCAATTCCAAGATCCTTCTACTCACTTTCCTGGTTAGCTTCACAGAAGTCCTGGAGACAAGCTAGCAGTCACAGAGAGGGAAGACTGTGAACCTTTATACATTCATGTTTATGGTCCCAGTTGCACAATAATTTTAAATACAATTCAGACAACAGGCTGTTTCCCAGTCACTAAATGACAAGACTTTCTTTGCAATAAGAGGCAAGGCCAACAGTGACCAAAATTCACATTTCTGAAGACTGGAGGAAGGATGAGGGAAGAATTGAAATGTGATATAAGATGAGTAACATCTTTGAGCAGAGGTGGTGTTCTGCCTTAGACCCACCTTTTCCCCTCCTCTCATGAAATCACACATGCTGATGTTTTTCCCTAGAAGCCCTATTTCTTGAAATCTGAGACCATAATCCAACAAATCATTCCCTTGAAAGTTTACTTTCTTTTTGATGGTTATCTGATGTGAAGAAGAAATCCAAAAGAGAGCAGAATTTGAAGGTCGAATTTGGCCATTTCCATGCTAGTTCATATCTGGTGCCCGAGAGTGTCTTCACTAGGATCTCATTTCTCTGTTAAAGTCAAACAGTATCTCATCTCTGCCCTATCCAAGGGCTGGTATGAGCTTACTGCCAGCATTTAATGCCTGAATGTAAAGCTGGGACAGGTAAGGTGCTTCACCTGCAGCATCCAAAAATCAGAGCAGGCAGAGAGGAAGTCTAGGAGCATACAAAGTAAAAACAAATAATATGATTTGATAAGATACAAGCACAATTAAAAGTTAGAAAAGAAAAATACTAAATATACGTTAAATGTATACATGTTGAAGAGATTGCCAGATAAGAAGGTTTTTATAGTGTGGTGGAACAAATGAAGAAATGTTTCCTTACAGAGTTGTATATTAAGAAAATGTCCGTGTCACCTGTATTTGTTTAGAAAGAGTTATTTCGAAAGCACCTGGTTTTCTTAGGATTAAACTGCCTACTCCATAGGGAAGAGTGCCTGTTCATTCATTCATTAACTCACAATATATTAAAATTGTACTTACCATATACCAAGCACAGTATTAGGCACTAGAAATAGGGAATGGAATATGACCAACATGTTCCTTACTTTCTTGGAGCTTACAATATAACAGGGAAGACAGACCTTGTATAGATTATTAGACAATGAATGTGTGCAAAGAGAGTGATGATGGAGAAGTGAATGGTGCTATTGAAGGCATTGTGAGGGAATATAACCAAAAAAGAGGACAGGGTTGCCTTCTTATGAGTTGAACAATTCAGGTGCCACTGCTATCACCGCGGGGCATGGGCTTTCCCCCTTGCCTGGAAAGAATACATTAACATCAGACTAAGCAAAGAGCTCATAAAATGCATGATGGCACACTGACCAATCAAAACATACCAAGCATTCTTTTCCAGAGGATTGGGAAAGAGATTCATTTTGAAATAATTATCTGGCAATAGGTTCAATGTGAAAAAAATAAACATTAAGCCATAATTATTATTCAACAGAACTGGAGACTTATTCATCCTACTTTCTGAAATTGTGTATCTATTTCATAGCACTGGAAGCCCAATACTATGTTTTATGTTCTGTGGATAAAACACGATGTCTGTTTTATTTCACAACATGAATTGAAAGCATTTGTGGGACAGGATGTTGTTTTGGTTCAATAGGTTGTTCAAGGTTCCTCAGGAGTTTTATCCAGTAACTGCTTTCAGCTTTAAGAAATTAATGTTTCCATTTGGTTTTCAGATCCAAAGACTGTGTAAGCAGATTTTTCTGTTTTTGATACCTTATCCAATTGCTAGTGTGGTTTAAGGTAATCAATCATATAACTGAGAGTTAAAGAACTCTGGCTAAGAGTTTTTACACAAATAAAACTTGAATTGGTTTGAGTGGGAATGGTGATTGTTCAAGGATTACAGGAATAAGTTGTAGTCAAACCTTAAAAATGTTTCAGATTTGCAGCTCAGGCACTGGTTGGGAAGGTTATACCATATGATTCAGGTAAGATACTGGCAAGGTTTATGCTAGGAAAATGAGAATATCTGATGAAAACAACAAAATTACTAATTCCCTTGGCTGCCCAGCAAGTCTCCACCTGTCTCTCAGGAATCTTTCTGCCAAATTACGGAAGGAAAATATGTCTTTCTCTGGGGTACCCAGGGAAGATGGCGGTTCCTTTCCAGGCTTCATCCTAAAATTTGCTAGTCATATATTGTGGCAGGCATCTAACACAGCAGAAAGACATAAGATTATAATCCCAAGGAGCTCACTGTTTAATAAAGGAAAATTAACATAAATACTTGCAATGTAGTATAAATACAATGCTGAGAATGTTCATGCTATATTTCAACCAGTAGACAATGCAATTAGCAGTACCAGGATTCAGGAGAGAGAAGGGTGGCAAAGAATACTGCACAGAAGTGAATAACAAAGTGGAAAAGGGGAGGAATACAGGGTTTGCATTTAGGAATACAATGAAATTAGTCAAGATGGTCACTGCCTACCTTCTTTCAGGACCGTTTTCCTCTTCAAGGGTCTATTAAGCCTATTTTCCAGGGCTCAATACTTTCCTGTTGTCCTCTAGAGGCCCAGAGTTCACTCTGGAGTCCTACCTTGGTCTGCCCTTACTCAGCCCAGGATTGTCACCTGTTCTGATCTTTCTCCCAAATTGTATGCTGACTTATTGTATTAGTTTCCTTTCGTTGCAGTAACAATTACAATTAATATAGGGCTTAAAACAGCACAAATTTATTATCTTATTGTTCTGAAGGTCAGAGTCTGAAATTACATCATTGGGATAAAAAGGTGTCGGCACAGCTGCACTCCTTTCTGGAAACTCAAGGGCAGTCTATTTTCTTGCTTTTTCTAGCTTCTAGAGGCTGCCTACATTCTTTAGCTTGTGGCCCCTTCCCATCTCCAAAGCCAGCGATAGCCAGTCAAGTCCTTCTCACGCTGTGTCCCCCTAGCTCTGCTTTTGCCATCACATTTTACCCGGATTCCCACGTCCTCTTTCACCAATCACCCTGTGATGACATTGAGCCCAGCTGGCTATTCCTGGATTCTGTCTTTTAAGTTCAGCTGATTAATAACCTCAATTCTATCTGTAACCTTAATTCTCTCTTGCCATGAAATGTAATATAGTCACAGGTTCTGGGGATTAGAATGTGGTCATTTTTGGGGGTAATCATTTTTCTGCCTACTGCACCCACCTTCATGTTTACTATTAATCAAAATTTACTTGTATGTTCTTCAGTGACTCCTCATTAAACTAAAAAGTGGACCTAATAATTTCACCCAGCAGAAGGTGTTAAAGGGAGATATGTAGGACCTGTCTCTACTTATTCTCCTATACCTATTTACATTTCATGAGTCAAGCATGGTTCTCTTCTATCTGGACACAAATGAGCCTTCAGAATATTTTTTCTCATCCTGGCAACCACTTCCTTATGACCTCTGTGATCTCTATATCTTGCCTACCCCACTCTCCTCCTTGAGCAACTACTGATCTTTTTTGCGTCTCTATAGATTAGTTTGGATTTCCCAGAATTTTATGTTAGTGGAATCATACAGTGTGTACTCTCACCCAAACTTCTTTCATTCGGTATAAGTAGTTTATTATTCACCCATGTGTCATTCAATAGTTGCATTGGTTTTGGATAAATATTCTGGATCAGTTTTCCATTATATGGATATACCATAATTTGTTTATATATTGACCTTTTGATGATCATTTGAGTTGTTTTACATTTTGGCTATTAAATATAAAGCTGCTATAAAAATTCAGGTATAAGTAGTTGAAAGGACATAAATTTCCATTTTTCTTGAGTAAATACCTAGTAGGAATTAAATAGCTGGATATATGACATGTATATGTTTAACTCCTTAAGAAACTGTCAAAATCTTTTCCAAAGTGGTCTTACCATTTTAAATTTTCTCTAGCAGTAAATACAAATTCTAGTTTTTCTACATCCTCACCAATACTTGGTAAGGTCTGTCTTTTAAATTTTTACTGTTCTGATAGGTATGTAGTGATACCTCATTGTGGTTTTAATATGCATTTCTCTAATGGTTAATGCTGTTGAGCTTTTCATGTGCCATTTGTATATCTTCTCTGGTGAAGTGTTCAATTAAATCTTTTGCCCAATTGTTTTTTTTTTTTTTTGAGATGGAGTTTTGCTCTTGTTCCCAGGCTGGAGTACAGTGGCATGATCTTGGCTCACTGTAACTTCTGCCTCCCGATTCAAGCAATTCTCCTGCCTCAGCCTCCTGAGTAGCTGGGATTGCAGGCATCTGCCACAATGCCTAGCTAATTTTTTTGTATTTTTAGTAGAGACAGGGTTCCATCATGTTGGCCAGGCTGCCTCGAACTCCTGACCTCAGGTGATCTACCTGCCTTGGCCTCCCAAAATTCACGGATTACAGGCGTGAGCCACTGCTCCCGGACCTTTTGCCCAATTTTTAATTGGAATGTTTGTTCTCTTATTGTAGAGTTTTGAGAGTTCTTTATATATTCCAGATTCAAGTTTGTTATCAGATGTAGGCTTTGCAGAGATTTTCTCCCAGTCTGTGGCTTGCCTTTTAATTTTTGTTCTTTCATTTCATTTTCATTCTTTCATTTACAAAACAATGTTATTCAAAGAGCAAAAGGATTCCATTTTGATGAAGTCCAATTTGCCAGTTTGTTCTTTTATGAGTTGTCCTTTTGGTGTCATACCTAAGAAATCTTTACCTTACCAAGGTCATCATAAGTATTTCATATCTTTATTAATCTTATAAATGTTAACACTTCCAGATTTCAATTTCTGATACTTTGTTGCTAGTATATAGATGTCATGCTGTTAAATTCCTCTCCATCATGTCCAGAGGCACACAATGCTTGGTTATCCCACTCTTAGTGATGTTAAGATTAACCAATGAGTTTAGATAGTGTCAATATGGTCTATTCATTAAAAACGTTCTCCATCAACCTTTTACTTAATATTTTTGGACCACTCAAATTGCCAACATAAATTATTTCATTAGCGGTTGCAAGCTGTTGACTTTTTGATTCTGTTATTCTTCTTGCATTTATTAGCTGTGATTTATTTATGAAGAAATTTTTCTGGTCCCCTATTTCATTAACCTGAAATATAGCTTATGGAAAAAGCAGTATAAATACTTGATTCTCTTTTTTAATTTATTATTTTATAATACATATTTAATATTCTAGAAACTATTAAAAGTCTTCCGTAATGTATTATTTTTGGACTATCTTAATGAACACATGAATTTGTATTTAGTTGATGTATTTCAATTCATTGGAACCATTACTTTTTTGATGCTTGAATTGTCTGTCTTTGGCCAGTATGAGCCCTTTCTTAATGGTCTTCTTTCAATATGACTCTAGTAGCCATTCATAACTTTCTTGCTTTTAGGAGGGACAAGATATCCCAGATTCATCCTGTACATTTCCTATTCTAGATTTGGAATGACTATTTCTATAAGGTGCTCTGGTTCCCTTTCTGGAGAAATGGTATGAAACGATTGCAATCCAGATGCTGGGGACACTATTACTCCTGCACTGTGATTGTTTCTTTTAATGGGGTGTATGTTCATAATCAGAACTTAATTTTAATTCTGTCAAGTTTAATAATGCTTTTATTAATGACTAATCCTTTTTGGTGTCTTGTTTAAGAAAATTTCCTTACTTGGAAGTTACAAAAAT